AGTAAGCATAAGGAGAAGCTGAGGAACAGCTCTGCTGATATCGAACTTCGATGGAGACTCGGAAAACCGTTTGAGTTTCCCACTGGTACAGCTGCTTCTTACCAAACCATCTGTTTGATTCTCTCCGAACGCCATCTCAAACTCAATGGTATGAATGGCAAAATGAGTGTTGTGGTGTAAGAAAAAGATATACTATAGTAGATAGGAACCATGAATGAGTTGGAAAAGGACATTGGGATTTTATTAACAAAGGAACTAACACAGAAGAAAGGTGGTAGTATCGGTTCTGTGATCGGAAGATTGGTTGGGAAGATATCTCCACTTGTGATCAAGCATGCTCCCAACATCCTTGGTACACTTGGACTGGCTCGGTATTTCTGGTGCTATTTCTGGAAGCACACACAGCGCCACAGCTGGTCGGGGAATCGGTCAGTATGTAGAATATGGATTGATGCTAACTCCGAACCAAAAGAAGAAACTTGGTAGTGCTCAGTATGGAATCACACTCCGGTTAACAAAAAATCAGTTATCCGGAAATGACATGCTTTTGCTCACAAACCGACAGGTTGTCAAAATCCAAAAATCCAAGCAAAAAGGAGTAGGAATGGATCTCAAGTTATCCAGTGCTCAACTCAAGAAGCAAGGTGGGTTTCTCGGAGCATTAGCAGCTGGATTATTAGCACCAGCTCTAGGAAAAATGATAGGTTTTGGAAACACTGGTGAAGGATTACAACTTCCCGGAACACGGAGGGGTAGAGGGGTAAAAAAAGACCAAAAAGGAAAGCGGTTACGTCTACCAGGAACGTGAGACCACTGACCAACTTTGACATTGATGAAATGCTGAGATCTATTCCACATTTCAGAGGAACTTTTAGCAAAGATCAGCTTCCACCACCTCTATCATCAAAGGATTGTTTGATAATCAATCTCCAAGATTTCTTGGATGGTGGTGGTACTCACTGGGTTTGTGTGTTTGGTAATGAATATTTTGACAGCTTTGGCTTATCACCACCAGAGGAGGTAGTCAGTTGGATGAAGAAGCACCACAAAAAATGTTGGTATAACTCATCAAAGATACAGATGAATGATAGTGTCCTGTGTGGATACTACTGTATACATTTCATAGAAGAAAGAAACAAAGGCAGAAGTGCTCTTGATGTCTTGTTGGATTTTACTCAGCACCCCAGTCAAGAAAATGAGCAGTTGGTATTGTAAAAGAAAAAAAAGAGGTAGATAAAAAAGATAAATAAAGAAATACACAACAACTTTTTTTGGTATTCATTGTATAAGCATCATCAATTTTATCATTCACGGAGCTTGTGGAATTTCGTTTTTTCATGATGGGATTTGTGATTTCTTGGATAAGACTTCTCACATTTCTCACCGACAACTCTTTCATTGGCATATTGTCTGATTTTCTTGTGATTATCTTGATACCACTCTGATGCTGATCTTTCAGGCTTGTTTTTCATCACGGTATCCAGTTTTTCGATCCAGTATCGTTCTCTCCTCTTAAGCTCATCTTCATCAAACATTGACAGAGAGTCGATCTGGACAATTTCTACATGTCCGAGATCAAGCAGAATGAATGAGATCATAAAACCCCGTTCACCTTTTTGGTAGGCTTTGTAAGCTGATCGGTGACAGTACATCCAATTTTTCAGTGGTAGACAAGTGGACCCCACATATACCTGATCGGTGTGTTGGCTCACAAGTTTGTAAATCTTACAAGGAGAAGTCATCTTTGCTGATAGAAAATCTTTGAAATTCTCATCGGTATACTTCTACGTAACAGGATTCAAATAATCGTTTATGATGACAATTCGGTGTACTTGAAGTAGAAAAAAAAGAAGAGAGTTGGTCTCCTTTCTCTTCTCTTTTCTTTCTCTCTTTTCTTTCTCTCTTCTATTTTTCTCACACATATTCATCAAGAATTTCCTGAACCATCTCTAACAGACGATTGTTGGAGTAGGAACTCGAGAGTACTACATACTTTTTTTCACAAATTCTCAGGAAAATGCTTGGGATGATATTCATTTCTTCATCAAGAGCATTTTCATACACATCATCAAAGAAATCACTGAACAGTGAAGGACTATCTTCCATTATTCTATCATTCATCTCATCCCAAGCCGCGGGATCATCCCTTGGATTACCATACCAAACCGCGGCATCCTCCCTTGGATCACCACAATCAGGAGTATCAGGTTCAGAGTGGAAGCAATCATAGGAGAAATAGTCACTTGGAAAAGACGCAGCCATCGTTGTAGGTAATTTATTTTACAAATTCTATCAAACTTGTTGGATCTTACCATAAAACGTGTACAGTTTAGATAAAAATAATTGGTGATATGTGTGGAAAGAAAAAAAGATAGATAGACAAACATGAAAATGTACCACATAATCTGCCGTGGGACAGTTGGGTTTGGATACTCTCTCTCCAACATTCCACATTTCCGTGAAAATATTCTGGGGGTGAGTTTGGAACTCACGAAAGATGATCAGGAGCATGACACGATCAACATCCACATATATACCAATAATCCACAGATTTTTATGCCTTTGACAAAAGCAGAGCTTGACAAAATGGATTATGGGAGTTTCAGACTTGTTTGTGATGAAAAGATTGATGAGAGCTTGGAAGATCACTGTGAAAATATGGGGTTGTTGAAACATCTTTGTATCCATGAGAAATAAAAAAGTAGATAGATAGATAAAGATGAATGTTCATTGCCTATCGTGTAAGAAAAAGCAACAGATGAGGGGAATACAAGGAGAAGTCACATCAACTGGTCAACCATATGTCAAGGGTAAATGCTCAGTATGTGGTCGATCATGTTCACAATTTATCAAGAAATCGGAAATCAGAGAAGGTGGATTCCTGTCCGGTTTGTTCAAGATGATAGGTTTAGGAGTAAAAAAAAAGATAGATACGAAATGGACGGACGATCTGGCTGATGAGTTACACAAGCCCAAGCGTGTGAATTTCACAAGGAGACAAGTGACTGTGAGTGAGATTGATGAAATCTGGTCTGCCGATCTCGTGGACATGACAGCTTTTCGTAAATACAATGATGAAATCAAATTTCTGCTTACTGTCATTGATCTGTTCAGCCGATATGCTTGGGTTGTTCCACTCCAATCCAAGAAAGGTGTTGACATCCAATCAGCATTTCGATCCATCGTGAAAACTAGCAGCAGGAAACCACGTAAGCTGTGGGTTGATCAGGGTACCGAGTTCTATAATCGAACGTTCAAACACTGGCTTGATGAGAATCAGATCACGATGTACAGCACTCACAACGAAGGAAAGGCTGTTGTAGTTGAGCGTTTCAACCGAACTCTGAAAACCAGGATGTGGAAATACTTCAGTACTAACTCCACCAGCAGGTACATTGATGTCCTTCCACATTTGGTAGAGAAGTGCAACACGACAAAACATAGAGGTGTTCGGATGACACCAACTGAGGCGTCACGGGAGAAGAACGCCGATCGAATCCGTGACTCACTGGGTGAGAAATCTCCACTATCCAGGTCCACAAAATTCCAGATAGATGACCACGTCCGACTGGTGAAGCAGAAACGACATTTCGAGAAAGGATACACTCCGAACTGGACCGAGGAGGTATTCAGGATCACCGATATTCTCCCGACCAGACCCACTACGTACTCTGTCAAGGACCTCGATGGTGAATCCGTTGATGGGTCGTTCTATGAACAAGAGCTCCAGAAAACTACTCAAGAAATCTACCGGATCGAGAAAGTGCTCCGAAAGGACAACAAGAAGAAACAAGCCCTTGTGAGGTGGAAAGGCTACTCGGCAAGATTCGACAGCTGGGTCCCGTTTGATCAACAGCTGGTTGTGAAAAAGCTCCGACTCGGAAACTGAAAAATATGTGAGCTCTGAAAAAGCTCCGACTCCGAAACTGAAAAATTATTATGTGAGCTCTGAAAAAGTCCCGACTCGGAAACTGAAAAATATGTGAGCTCTGAAAAAGCTCCGACTCCGAAACTGAAAAATTATTATGTGAGCTCTGAAAAAGTCCCGACTCGGAAACTGAAAAATATGTGAGCTCTGAAAAAGCTCCGACTCCGAAACTGAAAAATTATTATGTGAGCTCTGAAAAAGTCCCGACTCGGAAACTGAAAAATATGTGAGCTCTGAAAAAGTCCCGACTCGGAAACTGAAAAATATGTGAGCTCTGAAAAAGCTCAGACTCGGAAACTGAAAAACTCCGAGAAAGGTCAAATCTCACAGTGACGTCAGCTGATGATGGCTGTGTCTCCAATCACAAGATCGTGGGTTCGAATCTAGGTTTGGACACCCCGTTCTTTTTTTCTTTCTTTCTAGGATGTAGATTAATGTACATTAGAGGGTAGTGATTATACAGTAATGCTATCACTGATCGAAAAAATCCTTGTGTAGTGTAAAGATGGAATTTGACCTGAGCAAACTCACTATCACCTATGATGGGAAGAAACTCAAAACTGAGAAACAACTCCAGTGGATTCACAAAAAATTAGAGCAAAGAAAGAATCGGGAACTTCTCAAGAAACGGATTCGGAAGAATCGGGAGGATCGGAAGAGGAAACCGATTGTCACACCACCGTTCACAGTCTCAAAGTCAGTACCCAAAGGGATTCTGAAATCGTTCATCTATGAACCGAAAGAGAATCATCCAGATCTGTATATATTCTTTGATAGTATCAACATCCCACTGAGAACATTGATACAGAAAGAACTGGAAAATCTCAAGGGTGTGAAAGTCAGTCTGACATTACAAGTAGAAATGGAGAAAGGAGATGACATAACAACCACAGACACACCATACTTCAGGAGTGGACCAATGACAGTCACAACATCTCATGAGATTGATAACGGTATTCAAACGGCACACACACAAATTCATACAAATATCGATAAGTGGATACAGAATGGATCAAACTGACACATCAATCACATCACCAGATTTTATGTTGATGTAGCAGCATACCAGCCAATGAGAGGTAAATCCTACATTGATTTACCGAACGAGCTCAAGAAAAAGAAGGCAATCATCAATGTCAAGAATAAGGATGATAAATGTCTGATGTGGGCACTGCTCTCAGCTCTGTATCCAGCAAAGAAAAATAGTAACAGGGTAACTCATTATACAGACTATAGCAACAAACTTGATCTGTTCGGAATCGATTTTCCAACACCACTGAGTCAGATTTCCAAAGTCGAGAAGCAAAACAACCTAGCTATCAATGTCTTTGGGTATGAGGATAACGTGATCTATCCACTACTGCTGACAAAGAAAAGAGGTGAGGAAGTGATCAATCTTCTACTATACCAAAAAGAAGATCAGAATCACTACTGTTGGATCAAAGATTTCAGCAGATTGTGCTACGATCAGTCAAAGCATAAAGCCAGGAAATTCTTCTGTACAAGATGTCTCCAACCACACAACACAGAGAAATCCCTGAGCAATCATCAGGAGTATTGTGATAATGTCACTGGATTATCAGCACACATGGTACTACCAGAACCAGACGAAGATGGAAATCCACCAACACTGAAGTTCATTAATCATAACAAAATGCTACAATGTCCCCATGTAATCTATGCTGACACTGAGGCACTGATCAAGAAAATTGATGGAGTGAAAAGCCAACAAACCAGCCGGGATTCACAGCATGTTCCTTGTGGTTTTGGTTACGTCGTGGTGCGTTCTGACGGAGTGATGACAAGTCAGTGTTTCTACCGGGGTGCTGATGCCATGGATGTATTCTTTGATAAACTCAAAGCTGAGGAGAAGAAAATCCAATCAGCACTCAATAATCCAGCACCGATGGATCTCACTAAGGAACAAGAAGAATTGTTCAGAGAGACAGAAGACTGTTGGATTTGTAAAAAGAAACTTGGTGATGACAGAGTCCGTGATTACGACCACATCACTGGTGATTTCCGCGGTGCCGCACACAATGACTGTAACATCAAACTCAGAATTTATCCATACAAGCAGCACATCCCTGTGGTTTTTCACAACCTGAAAGGCTATGACAGTCATCATCTCATCGGAGCAATCGGAAAGACAGATGTTGAGACCGTCACATACACGGATAAGGACGGTGTGTGTAGGAGTAAAACTGTGGGTGAGATATCAGTCATTCCCAACAACATGGAGAAATTCATCTCATTCACATGGAGACAGTTCCGGTTCATCGACAGCTGCCAGTTTCTCAATGCGTCACTCGATAGACTTGTGAAAACGACACCAGATGAGTCATTCAATCACACCAAGACGTTGCCAAACCATCAGCTGTTGGTGAGGAAAGGAGTATACCCCTATGAGTACATGAACAGCTTCTCCAGGCTCGATGAGACTCAGCTACCTGCACAGAGTAAGTTCTATTCTTCACTGTCTGATGAGGGGGTGAGTGACGATGACTACAAAACATGCTGAAACAATGTGGATGAAATTCGACTGTCAGACTCTTGGTGATTATCACGACTTGTATCTCAAGACCGACGTGTTTCTCTTGGCTGACATCTTTGAGAATTTCAGAGTAGAAACTGCCAGAACGTATCAGCTGGATCCAGCAAATTACTACACTCTGCCTGGATTTGCCTGGGATGCTCTGTTGATGTACTCAGGTGTGTCCTTGGAATTACTAACAGACTATGATCAGCACTTGTTTGTAGAATCAGGAATGAGAGGCGGTGTGTCGATGGTCTCACAACGATATGCTGCTGCTAATAATCACTATCAGGAGAAATTTGATGCTGATCAGCCATCGTCATTTATCCAGTATCTCGATGCCAACAATCTCTATGGTTGGGCAATGTCACAACATCTCCCAGTGTCTGATTTTCGGTGGGAGAAACCATCAGAGAAACTCCTGAACAAGATACTGAATACTCAAGATGATTCCTCATCGGGGTATATCGTCGAGTGTGATCTGGAATATCCACACGAACTTCATGAGAAGCACAACGATTATCCAGTTGCTCCGGAACGTCTTTCCGTCAATGAGGACATGCTATCTCCATACCAGCAGGAGCTTGTTGATAAACTCAATTCTTCCGGAGTAGATGCTCTCAAACTTGTACCAAACTTGAGGGACAAGACAAAGTACGTTCTCCATTACCGAAACTTGAAACTCTACACTCAGCTCGGACTACGTTGTGTCAAAATTCACCGTGCTCTGAAATTTACTCAGACACCGTGGATGAGAAACTACATCGAGAAGAATACAGACCTCCGGAAGAAGGCAAAGGATGATTTCTCTAAGGACTTCTATAAACTGATGAACAATGCGGTGTTCGGGAAAACTATGGAGAACGTTCGGAGGAGAGTCAACATAAAATTGTTGAGAAGTCGTGAGGAGAAAAAAATCAAACAGCTTGTTGCCAAACCAACGTACAACCGCCATGTGATCTTCAACGATGACCTGGTCGGGGTACAAAGTAACAGGACAAAGGTCGTCCTCAACAAGCCCATATATGTTGGGATGTCGATTTTGGATCTCTCAAAGACACTCATGTATGACTTTTACTACAATCACCTGAAAGTGATGTATGGCTCTGATGTGAGACTCTTGTACACCGATACAGACAGCTTGGTTCTTCATTTCTTTACTGATGATCTGTTTCATGACATGAGTGAGTTTCTTGAGAAGTATGATACAAGCAATTATGATCAATCACATCCGTTATATTCCGAGAAAAACAAGAAAATTGTTGGCCTGTTCAAAGATGAACTCGGTGGAAAACTGATCACTGAGTTTGTAGGACTTCGTTCCAAGATGTACAGTTACTCTGGTGAGGAAAGTGGAAAAAGAGCAAAGGGGGTGAAAAAAGCAGTGCTCAAGAAAACTATCACACATGATGATTTCCGAAATTGTCTCTTGGATCAATCCGTGTTCCATCGAGAAATGACAACACTCCGGAGTCATAGTCACGTTATTTTCGGAGAAACGGTTAATAAGATAGCCTTATCACCATTGGACACAAAACGATACATCATAGAAGATGGATGTAGCACGTTAGCGTTCGGACACCATGAAATACCAAGATATCTGGCTGAGGAAGAAAGAAAGACATTTTTTTTTACTTTTTCTTACACATTCGATTTTCTATAATCCTCCCATATAGCATCAAGTCTTTGTTGTGACGTTTTACACTTTGGAATGAATGGTTTGATCTTGACCACATCATCTTCATCATCAATGAGTTTCGAAAGTAGGAATGGATAACTCACTTTGACTTTTTTCTCTTTATTTGCTACTTCCTTGATCCTCTGAATTTTATCAACAAGATTGTTGAATGGGGTTTTGCTAAGATATTTTTGTAAACCAACCTTGTTCAGGGTTATCTCCAACCTTGTTTCGATTCCTGTTCTGGTTTTGGATTTTTCTATTTCTTCGAAGAAAGATGTGGTATCATACAGATCATTTTTCTTCATCTCATACACCTCAAGATCCTCTAGAGTTACTTCATTTTCCAAAATCATCAATTCTATATCTGTAGGAAACCATTCCTGGTTTCTATAGTCAATGTAGTCCGCTATCATCTTATCTTTCCTGGTAGAGTGTTCATCATCTATCCATGTATCCATCACTTCTTCTTCTTTGTTTGTGGAGTAGTCGTCATCAAACCAGGCATCCATGATTTCACTTCTAAAAAAATATTTTTTGCTTTTTTGCTTTTTGTGGATTGTTTGACTATTTTTACAAATCGTTTGCTGAGAATTTCACTTCTTCTTTCTGGAAATGCTTTATAGCCACAACAACAAGTTTGAGACTGAGAGTGTCATCAGTCTTGTCTTTGTAAACCCACTTCAGGTGAACGATACCATTGACGGTGTCACCTTGCTTGATCTTGTTGGTTTTTGATGGTTTGTTATCCTCATCAAAAATAGCACAATCATGAGAAATCTGGAGAAACAGTATTGGGTGGTCACACTTTGCTGTGTTCATTCTGCTTCTAACCACATTTCCTTCGGATTCTATCTGCTTCTCGATCCGACGGATGGATTTACAAATGTCACTGTCAGAAGAAAATTTCAGAGAGTCCTCTTGTCCTTTCTTCACAACATTCATGATATTTGTCTCATCAGTGAATTTTATGTATGGTTCCTTACCATTAATTGTCAGTGAACCACATTTATTCCCATCCTTGATGGTGATTCGATAATGAATGAAGTCATTGAGAACAGTAGCTGTGTCAAACGGAGTAGGTTTCTTGCTTGCCATCTTGGAAAGTTTGCGTAGAATCGTTGGTTATACCTATGGCAACCGTTCCTCTAATATAGAATAATTAGGATCATCCATAGCTGAACCACCCGAAGTTGGCTCAGAAACCGATCCCACATCAGTCCTCGAAGTGAGCCAAGATGGGGTAAGTGAAAAAGCTGAAGTTGGCTCAGAAACCGATCCCACATCAGTCCTCGAAGTGAGCCAAGATGGGGTAAGTGAAAAAGCTGAAGTTGGCTCACTTTCGATTTTCTCGGAGACAGCAAGTTGACTCACTTTTCCGTAACTGGGTTGAGCCAACATGGGATCAGTGTTTGGAGTTGTAAAATTAGTACTTGGAGGTGTAAAATTAGTACTTGGAGTTGTAATATTAGTACTTGGGTGTCTATCCTTTAGTATAGTAGTATAGGGGGAGGGGGAGACTTTCGAGAGCGGCCCCGAAGGGCCGATCGAGAAAGTCGATTTTGGCTCACCTGGAAGGTGAGCCAGAACCCCCTCGTCCTATACTACTAGAGTTAATGTTTTTAGATCGTTTTCGCCAGCATTGGTTCAGAATTAGGCTTAGAATTGCAATTAGCTGTACCCCTTGCTAATAGCCTTTGGTTTAGGGCTAGGGCTAGAGTTAGGGCTAAGGTTAGGGTTAGGGTTAGGGTTAGGGTTAGCGTTTGGTTTTGCGTTTGCACCAGCATTCGCATTGCCTGTTTCTTAGAACTGCAATTAGCTGTATGCCTTGGTACTAGATTTTCGTGTAGGAATAGGGTCAGGGTTGGGGTTAGAGTTAGGGTTAGGGTTAGGGTTAGGGTTAATGTTTTTTATCGTTTTTTTATCGTTTCCGCCAGCATTGGTTCAGGATTAGGCTCAGAATTACAATTAGCTGTACCCTTTCCTAATAGCCTTTGGTTCAGGGCTAGGGCTAGAGTTAGGGTTAGGGTTAGGGTTAGGGTTAGGGTTAGGGTTAATGTTTTTTTTTGTCGTTTTTTACTCGTTTTCAACAGCATTAATTCAAGGCCAGGCTTAGAATTGCAAATAAATGTAAGCTTGGGTATTTTGGGTTTAGGGCTAGGGCTAGAGTCAGGGTTAGGGTTAGGGTTAGGGTTGGGGTTAGGGTTAGGGTTAGGGTTAGGGTTAGGGTTAGCGATTGGTTTTGCGTTTGCACCGGCATTCGCATTGCCTGTGTCTTAGAATTGTAATTAGCTGTATGCCTTGGTATTCGATTTTGGTTTAGGATAAGCGTTACGGTTGGGGTTAGGGTTAGGGTTCGGGTTAATGTTTTTTATCGTTTTTTGATCGTTTTCGCCAGCATTCGTTCAGGATTAGGCTTAGAATTGCAATTAGCTGTACCCCTTCCTTAATAGCCTTTGGTTTAGGGCTAGGGCTAGGGTTAGGGTTAGGGTTAGGGTTAATAATTTTTTGTCGATTTTACTCGTTTTTAACACCATTAGTTCAAGGCAAGGCTTATTAATTCAAATAAATGGAAGCTTAAGTTATTAGATTTGGTTCAGGGCTAGGGTCAGTATTTGGTTTAGGGTTAAGGTTAGGGTTAGGGTTAGGGTTAGGGTTAGTGTTTGATTTTGCGTTTGCACCAGCATTCGCATTGCCTGTGTCTTAGAATTGCAATTAGCTGTATGGTTTGGTATTATATTTTGGTTTAGGATTAGGGTTAGGGTTTGGGTTAGGGTTAGGGTTAGGGTTAGGGTTAGGGTTAATGTTTTTTATCGTTTTTTGATCATTTTGCCAGCATTGGTTCAGGATTAGGCTTAGAATTGCAATTAGCTGTACCCGTTCCTAATAGTCTTTGGTTTAGGGCTAGGGCTAGAGTTAGGGTTAGGGTTAGGGTTAGGGTTAAAGTTAGGGTTAGGGTTAATGTTTTTTTGTCGTTATTTTACTCGTTTTCAAATGCATTAGTTCAAGGCCAGGCTTAGAATTTTAAATAAAAGTAAGCTTGGATATTAGATTTGGTTCATTGCTAGGGTCAGTGTTTGGGTTAGGGTTAGGGTTAGGGTTAGGTTTAGCGTTTGGTTTTGCGTTTGCAACAGCATTCGCATTGCCCGTGGCTTAGTATTGCAATTAGCTGTATGCCTTGGTATTTTAGATTTTGGTTTAAGATGAGGGTTAGGGTTGGGGAAAGGATTAGGTTTAGGGTTAGGGTTAGCGTAAGGGTTAATGTTTTTTATCGTTTTTTGATCGTTTTCGCCAGCATTGGTTCAGGATTAGGCTTAGAATTGCAATTAGCCGTACCCCTTCCTAATAGCCTTTGGTTTAGGGCTAGGGCTAGGGTTAGGGTTAGGGTTAGGGTTAGTGTGAGGGTTAGGGTTAATGTTTTTTTGTCGTTGTTTTTACTCGTTTTCCACAGCATTAGTTCAAGGCCAGGCTTAGAATTGCAAATAAATGGAAGCTTAAGGTGTTAGATTTGGTTCAGGGCTAGGGTCAGTGTTTGGGTTAGGGTTAGGGTTAGGGTTAGGGTTAGGGTTAGGGTTAGCGTTCGGGTTTGCGTTTGCACCAGTATTCGCATTGGCTGTGGCTTAGAACTGCAATTAGCTGTATGCCTTGGTATTATATTTTGGTTTAGGATTAGGGTTAGGGTTGGGGTTAGGGTTAGGGTTAGGGTTAGGGTTAGGGGTAGGGATAGGATTAGGGTCAATCGTTTTTATCGTTTTTTGATCGTTTTCGCCAGCATTGGTTCAGGATTAGGCTTAGAATTGCAATTAGCTGTACCCCTTGCTAATAGCCTTTGGTTAAGGGCTAGGGCTAGAGTTAGGGCTAGGGTTAGGGTTAGGGTTAGGGTTAGGGTTAAGGTTAGGGTTAGCGTTTGGTTTTACGTTTGCACCAGCATTCGCATTGCCTGTTTCTTAGAATTGCAATTAGGTGTATGCCTTGGTATTAGATTTTTGTTTAGGATTAGCGTTGGGGTTTGGGTTAGGGTTAGGGTTAGGGTTAATGTTTCTTTATCGTTTTTTGATCGTTTTTGCCAGCATTGCTTCAGGATTAGGCTTAGAATTGCAATTAGCTGTACACCTCCTTAATAGCCTTTGGTTTAGGGCTAGGGCTGGACTTAGGGTTAGGGTAAGGGTAATAATAAACACAGCTCGCATCTTCCCTGAACCTGTTAGACAGGAGCAGAGTCGACGCATCTGTCAACAGTGTCAAGCCAAGTGAGTCTATCTCCTGCAGCTTGGAGAGCGCTCTCCACGGAGAGATCCGCTGCCTTCAGGTCGTGCCGAATCGTATCTATCCACCGCAATGGCGGACGGCCACGGGTTTTTTTATGTCGTTTGTGTTGATTGATAGCTCCAGTGCTTGGAACTGTAATGGGTAGCCGAGTGGTAGGCGCGGTGAAATCAACAATAATTACTTTTATTCTACTTCTTTCAGGTACACACCTGAAGTTTTAATTAGTGAAAGAAGAAACGGCAAAATAACTGACTTTCTCTCCGGTGCACACCTGGAGGTTGAATAGCTCGTTATTATCAAAATCTCATCTTCGAGTTAGCTTTCGTTGCTATCTAATCTAATCTTCTCTAATATAATTAAAACAGAAAAAGCGCAGCTGCTTTTATGCAGCAGACGCCGTACGCTTATATGCGGAGATACACTAAAATTAATATACATAAGGTCGTTCCGTATTGCTTCCGCATTGGTCGGCAGGGATACTACACCCTCCCTTCCTACAGATAATCACGCCCTCGTGATTTTCAAAAAAATAGTGAAGAGTTACGAACACAGCGTCAACCGGAAGATGGCAAATTATATCGGAAATGATAACGTTTAGAGTAGACAGAAGAAATGAACTGATAACAAATCATAAAGTAGAAGCACACCAGGTTCACACGATCTCACGGGGTCAAAAGGGGAAAGAACTGTCCTCCAAATAGGACCTGAAAATCCACAGCACTCTTGCTGCACAACGCTGGCACAATCCGCCAGGAACATTGCAGTTCAAAAACCGAACTGAATACACTATAACTATAAGGGGCGTTGTCACACACATTGTCCCACGTTAGCTGGGTAAAACGTGGCTCACCATGATCAGACGCCTACCAAACTAAACTGGATTCACACACTCGCATAAAGGAAGACTGAAGAGAACAGGGAGACTGAAGGAAGACAGGAAAGAAAATGCCATACCTGGAATCAGCGTTAGTAACCACGGCGGCGGCTGAAGCTACGGCCGAGGGCAAGCCAGGTTTTATCTTCATCTTGGTTGAGCCGGTCACTCAGAGCGGCTGGCTCGGCGTCAGACAAATGACCTCCCTCCTCGTCTTGAACCGTGGTCTTCACATTGTCGATAGCATTGCTTT